AAGAAACCTGCTCTTTAAGCTCCATTTTTCTCAACCCTCTCAAGGGCTAGTTGTCAGCCTTCGTCACTAAGAGCCACCAAGATGTGGTCAGGCTGGCCTGGGTCTCACCAAAGACCATTCAGAATCAGGTTTTTGTGCCTTCATATATGGAAAGTCTGGGCAAAATTGAGGCAATTACTTGCTATGTTAAACTTTGACATCTGGAGGTCTAGAAGGCCAGTGGCCCCTTTTTTTTATTTTAACTTTTTATTTTGAAATAATTTTAAATGTACAGAAGAGTTGTTAAGGTAATACCAAGAGTTCCTGGTTCTTCACTCAGCTTCTTCTAAAGTCGACGTCTCACAAAACCATAGTGTATTTATCATGGGTACAATTATAGACGCACAATAGAACACAATTAACTGAAATATATAGACTATTCAGATTTCACCAAATTTCCCACTAATGGCTTTTTTCTCTTCCGAGATTCTATGCAGGATACCATTTTGCATTAGGTGTCATGTCTCTTTAGTCTCCTCCAATCTGTGAAGGTTCCTCAGTGTTTTTCATGACCTTGACACTTGAATAATACTGGTCAAGTATTTGTAGAATTTCTCTAGCAGAGTGCCTGGCATGCAATGGCATCAACACATATGCATCAAGAGAAGTGAACACCAGTAACTGGATATCCATGTGAATCCAGATGCCTGTTTAATATGAGTGGACCCTAAAGAGGCTCTCAGTACTTCTGCAAGTAATGTGGAAAAGTGATCAGAATTTCTTTATTTTCAACACATCATCAACCACTCTATTGAAGTCTCATAGAAATCTGATAATGTTCATAGCATTCGAATTGCCTAAATTACTAGCTCAGTCTAGGATGCACATTGGAACCCATACTGGGGACCTGCTTCTAGGAATACTGATCATATTGAGCTGAGATAGGGTTTAAATGCTGGGATTTTAAAAAATATACATAAGATAAAATTTACCATCATAACCATTTTAAATGTACAGTTCTGTGGCATTAAATACACTTACATTGCTGTGAAGCCATCACCACATCCATCTCCAGAACTTTTTTATCTTGAAAAACTGAAACTCTGTCCCCGTGAAACAACAACTTGTCATTCCCATCTTCTCCAGTCCCTGGAAACCACCATTCTATTTTCTGTGTCTGTGACTTTGACTACTCTTGGTCCCTCATGTAAGTGAAATCACACAGTAGTTTTATTTGTTTGACTGGTTTATTTCATTCAGCCTAGTATCCTCAAGATTCATCCATGTTGTAGCATGTATCAGGATCGCCTTCCTTTCCAAAGCTGAATAGGATTCCATTATGTGTCTATGCCACCTTTTGTGTTTACATTTATCTGTCGATGGACATATGCGTTGTTTCTACCTTTTGGTTATTGCGAATAGCATTGCTGTAAACATGGGTGTGCAAATACCTGGAAGAGTCCTTGCTTTCAATTATTTTGGGTAAATGTGCAGAATTGGGGTTGCCTACACATTGAGATTGTTATGTGGTTTTCCAGAGAGTTTGGACGTACAGCCTAGGTTGTAAACCCTTGTGCTACAGGCTTCATGGCATCTCTGGCTGGAATTCCAGTGGACAAAGGCACTCCATTCATGCTTGTTGAGTGGATAAACTCATAATGAAGAGACTTTTGATGCCACACAAAAATATTCATGTTTCTGAGGGGAAAAAAATGGAGTTGGAAGCCAAAACTAAAGGTATTTTGACAATCAATGGACTTCCGGAAAGTAGACCTAACATCAGTGTGCCACTTGCAGCCCTAAAAGCAGAGCTTCATTCTAGCTTTGTCTTCCACCCCAAAGCCTAAATCAGTGTGCTGCCAATTCAGTCAACACATACTTTGGGGGTCATAAAAGGGACAACACAAGTTGAAAAATATAAATCTGACTCATATAAATCATTTTTTGAAAAATTGCTGAATCTGAATTCTACCGCAGAATGCTTCTCAGAATGCCTTTGCAAACAAAATTTATTGAGTAAGATGTTTGTCTCTTCAGATGAATAGCAATGTATTCCTGTTGAACCTCAACTGGCCAAAAACAACTATAAAGAAAAAAGAAAAAAGAGAAAGGAAACAAGACATGCATTTTTCTCCCCTGCTGAGACATCTTGCCTCTCCCATTTTGGTGCCAAGTATCAAGGAGTGACACAGAATCTCTGAAAGTGCTCCCTTCCCCTGGAGAGAGTGAGGAGCTTCTTAGCAGAGTCCCACTGCCATGTTCAAGAGAGTGCTTGGCAACAGTCCTAAACCATGGCTTGCACTAAGGTCAGGGGGCATGCTCTTAACCTCCAGCGGTACCTGCCCAGCTGCTCACCCCTGTCAATGTCTTGCCCTTCAGCAGGGCTCCAGAAGGAGAGTTGGCAGGCCTTCATTCCAGCATCTCGGCCAGAACTTTCTAGTTCTTAGGAACGGAGCCTAAGGAATTGCAGCACCAGCCAGCGGAGGGCAAGCTGGGAACACTTCCCATAGTGGAGGAGGGTCTTGGAACTGAAAGGAGGAGAAACGGTGGAGAGGGGAGGCTTCAGGCAATATGGCCTTGCTGGGCGTCTGCCTGTACATGGAGAGAAGGGTGTATCATGTGGTAATCTGTGTGGCTCCTGCTCCTGAGGGACTCAAGGTCATGGTTCAATGGAATTGTGGCCATTGTGCTGCAACAGCAGGACCTATATCCTCACAGGTGCATTTCCCCACAGTGGCCAGCAACGCAGGTGGGTGAGCTCTGCCTAGGCAGTGAGGGGCCAGGTGACTTCTATTTCCTTTCTGTTCAAACACTCGGATAGGTGCACTCTGCCTGGGAATTCCCCTCCTGCCCCATACACACACTCACGTCCATCTCTCTGTCTCTATCTTTGTCCCTGTCTCTATCTGCATCTCTGCCCCTGTCCCTGTCTCTATCTATCGCTATCTCTATCTCTGTCTCTGTCTCTATCTCTCTCTGTCTCTCTCTAGCTCTCTTTGTGTCTGTGTCTCTTTCTGTCTCTGTCTGTGTCTCTGTCTCTATCTCTCTCTGTCTCTCTCTCACACACACACCTGATCCTCTCTGAGTTTTTGGCTTTTTTTCTAACTACCTGCATAGTAGAAACCACGACAAGAAGAGCAAGTGAGGAGGGTATCTGTCCTCTGTTGTTTATCCATAAGCTGCCCACCAGGTCTCGATTTGTTCCTCCAGGCTCCCCTGTGGTCCCCTTGACTCTTCTGGGGCCAGCTGCTTCCACTTGAACCCTGCTGGCACACAGTTTCCCTTCCAGAGAGCAGAGTGGCTGTACCACGTGCTGAGGTAGTGATCTGTACTCTGCCTCTCTGCTTCAGTGGTGGCGACCATAAATATTGATACTGTGATATTGTGATTTCTAATAAGAATACATATATGGTTTTTGTCCCATTTCTGGAACAAAGCTCTTAAAACTATTGGAATTTCCTAAGCAATAAGAGTGAAAAGATGTCTTTTGTTATGTTAGTTAAGTGACTTTTGGACCTCTCCTAAGCATAGGGGCTGGTCACCAGAGGAACCAACTATGTGGTTAGAGGGTTGGAACTTTTAGTCCCAACTCCTGACCTCGAGATAAGTGAGAGAGGTTGGAGGTTGAGTCCATTGTCAATGGCCAATGATTTAATCAGTCATGCCTATGTCATGAAGCCTCCATGAAAAAAACAAAAAGGAACACAGCTCATAGAGCTTCTTGGTTGCTGAAAACCTGGGAACTTGGGGACAGTGATACTCCTGGAGAAGCATGGAAGCTGCTGCCCCTTCCCCTTACTTTGTTCTAGGCATCTCTTTGATCTGGCTCTTCCTGAGTTATATCCTTTTATAATAACTGGTGAACTAGTAAGGAAAATGTATCTCGAGTTCTGTGAGCCCCTTCTAGCAAGCTAATTGAACCCAAGAGAGGAGTTTTGGGGAACCTTCGATCTACAGCCTATTAATCAGAGCACAGGTGACAACCTGGACTTGGACTGGCATTTGAAGTGTGTGTGTGTGTGTGTGTGTGTGTGTGTGTGTGTGTGTGTGTGTGTGTAGGGGGGGTAGTCTTGTGAGAATTAGCTCTTTACCTGTGGGATCTGATGCTGTCTCTGGGAAGATAGTGACAGAAATCGAGTTGGTTGGTGGTGTGGAAAATCACCCCCCCACCACCACCACCACCACACACACACCCAAACGAATCAGAATTGGGTGCAGAACCCTTTTAGATACCTAGAGGGATAAAGGTGGCCATTCTGTTTTTTTGAGTGACAGATGGAGGGATCAACGAGGAAGGAAGAATACAACTAATATCTACTGATCACCTAATACAATGTTTCCCAATATTTTGTAGAGTAGTTCCACATTATCCATAGTTTCACTTACCCATGATCAACTGCTTTGTCCCTCCTGGGATATCCTTTTGTCTAGCGTATCCACATTGTACATGGTCACCTATAACTATCTCAGTTATTGGATTGAATACTAATGTATCACAGGGCTTGTGTTCAACTCACCCTCATTTACCTAACAATGGCCCCAAAATACAAATGTAGTGATGTTGGCAATTCGAATATGCCAAAGAGAAGCTGTAAAATGCTTCCTTTAAATGAAAAGGTATGCATGTATAGGAAAAATCATAGTATGGAGACTGTTTGGTGCTATCTGTTGTTTCAGACACCCACTAGGAGTCTTGGAATGTATCCCCTGTGGATAAGGGGGAGACTGTATTCCACCACATTGCAAACCACTTCATACATATAATAGATACAACTGAAATAAAAATGTCATGAAAAAGCTTACTCTTCCTATATATAATAAAGGAAAAATGTGACAAAGTTAATATGAAGCATGACTTTGAGAAAATTTAAATCAAATCTTTTACACTAAACAACCCAAATCATTTATTATAGAATCATGGCACACTGGATTGATTTTCCTTCTCCCTAATGGATGGCAACCCACATTTCCAAACCACTGGCATACTTATGTGCCAAATACTAGATGCTGGGCATCTCATTTAACACCCACAAAGAGTATTTGAGGAAAATATTAATAGCTTTATTTTGCTGATGAAGAAATTAAAAACTCAGTCAGCATAAGTGACTTGAAGAAATCCTTTGCCTGATAAAAGCCCATTCTTGTTCCACTCTCAGCTTTGGTGGCAGGAATGCACACCTGCCTTGCTGGGGGAGGTAGGGTCTGGACCAAGTGTGTCGTGCAGCCTTTTAGCAGCAGCCTCTCCGAGTCTGTACTTTGGATGTTGGAGTGTTTCTGATGGAAGCACCACTCATCCACGCTGGAGCAAATACTCTGTAAAAGCTTCATCAATAGCTACTTTGGTTCGGTTTTTTTAATTGGCAAATCCATGACACTGCAGGCTGAATCTTGTCATTTCAAATGGAATACAGACGGACCCAGACTTAAAATAGTTCAACTAGGATTGTTCTACATTACAATGGTACAAAAGCGATAGGCATTCATTCAATAGAGTCCAGCTACACTAAGCTATGAGGTTCAGTAGGTTAGGTGTATTGAATGCATTTATGATTTATGATATTTTCAACTTACAAGAGGTTTATTGGGATGCAATCTCATCTCTAGTCCAGGAGCTTCTGTATTCCCAAAGTCAAGACCTGGCTTCCATTAGTCCTTTATTCCTCTGTGGAATTTGCTCTTCTAAGGGTCTGGCAGGAGCAGACACCCATCCCATCCAATGCATCTTGCACCTGAGGAGTGTGTAAAATAAACCGTCACTGGGGTACAATCTTTCTCAGATTTCAGCTTTTCATTCTGAAGCCATGCTTAAGGAGAGAAGCCAAAATTGTATCAGAGCCCCTTCCTTTCTTTCTCTATTCCCTTCAGAAATATCTATCTGGATCATGCTTTGTGTCCATTAATGTGCTAGGTCTAAAAAAGAAGGGTAAACGGAGAAAAATAACAGAACTCTGGTCCCTAACTAGATGACGAGCTAGTTCGGTGGCTCTCCAACTTTAGCTTGTCTAGGAACCACAGGAGGTTTGTTACAACATGGACTGTGGGCCACCCTCTGGAGTTTCCGACCCAGCAGTTGTGGAGTGGGCTGGAATTTTTTTTTCTAACAAGTTTCCAGGTGCCACTGCTGCTGTTGGTCCAGGATCCCACTCTGAGAACCACGGATCTAGTTAAAGAGTAAAATACCTCCAGACTGATGTGAAGCCTTGCTGGGGCTCTCTGGGCTGCTGGGGGGTAGAGAGGTCATTGTGGGCAAGGTCACTGCCCTGAAATGTGCGTGAAACGGCGATACAATGCCTCTTTGCCAAAGGCTTCTTCCCTTCCAGAAGTGGGATGCCAGTGATTGGCAGGTCCCGGAGTGCACCCCCAATCCTGCTGATGTACATCCCATCTGTTACAGCATATGTTCTGAAACCCATAGGCCTCCCACCAAGAGTTCGTTATTTACATACCACTAAGCCAGCAGCCGCCAACACCTCCCCATGGCCACAGCTCTGTCTCTGCGAGCAGTGCAAGTCTGACAGGTGCTACCCAGCCCCCTGGGGTCCTTCTCCTCCTGGCTCCGCCCCACTACCTGTGGACACCCTCAGAGACTTCTGCAGAGAGGCTCTGCTGGTCTTAGGATGCTCTCTGGAAACTTCCACTTCCACTTTTCTTTGTTTTTGTGACAACTCTTCGTTATAGTGAGAACTACACCCTGCGCAAAGTCAATTTTCTCTTTTAGTGTTGAACATTGAATGGAATGTCTTTGATCAAGTCACTTCTGCAAGGGCCTTCCGGGTAATTTGGATATGTGCAGGTCCCCATGGTGTCTGTCCCCAACAGCCAGGGCTCTGTGAGCTTCCCGAGGCAGAAGCATCCTGGAGCACTCGTGGAGGTGCCGCTGTGCACTTGGCGGCACTTGTATGTTTGGGGCACCGCTTGGCCGCCTCTTTCACCTTTGCTTGGATGGGTTTGCTGTAGTTAAGTCACATGAACACTATTATTGTCAACACAGTATCATTATTCAAATGGACAGAAAAAAAAATTGAACAAGAGGGGAGGACACCATTTCTTTTTCTGTTCAGCATTCCAATAAGACTGCCATGATTTGTCTGAAAGAGCACGCACACTGTTTATAAGCTGGCCTGTGTGCGTCTGGGCCCAACACACACACACTCATCCGAGGCAGGACTTCTCAGAGCTACTGAGAATCCCGATACCTCAGTGTACACCAGCCATTACTCTGAAATCTCCCAGGCCCAGCACCTTTCTGATGATTACTTTCCTCTGACTGGAGAAGTTAGAATGGGCTTTGTTAATAATTTTATAATTGAGGACATCACCTCGAAGGACATGTGAATCCCTGTAGTCATGCATTACCAGGTGGCTTTTGAAGAAGTGAATCCAGTGCTGTTCCTGAGACTGCAGTTGGCAGACCTACCGCTTTCTAGGTCCTGAACGTGGTGGAGAAGCTGAGTAAGCACTTTCTGTGAATGGTTCTGCCTCAGAACCTCGTGCTGAACTACGTGCACTGCAGCGCTCTGAGGATGGGGTGGGAGTGCAGGAAGTCGGGAGCTGCCTTTCGGGGAGAACAAGTTCCTCTTCCACTAAAAATAGAGTTTCACAAGTATCCTTCTGTCTACTTACATGTGTCCAAGCTGGAGGATCTTATCTGAGCCTGAGCCTCGGGGGGGAAAATGAAATTGGATACATACAGATGCAAATAGTTAAGGAACAAGGTCACGTTCACTGGGAGCAGCCTGAGGCATTTCAGAGCCATGGCTGCCCCGTTTTCCAGCCCTGGCTCTGGGGCCAGTAGGGGAGTGGACAAAGCTACGTCCACAAGGTTGAGAGGCTGGCATCTTTCACAACTGAGGGAACACTGGAAACAGAAGGTCTGTTCGGAGGTGAAAGGGCAACGCGGTACAGTGACCCTTCCTGGAATCTGGGCGTTCCTCCGTGTTCCCAGCAGAGCACAGCCGGGGCCAATGCTGACACCCAGCTCCGAGCCACCTGATTTATGCTGTTCCCCTCTGGGGAGCCCACAACTCAGCAGCCCGGAGCCTGCCAAACAGAATGGGCTGCACAGGGGCGGCAGGGCTGAGAGCCTCACAGGTGCTGTCCCTCAATTCACTCAGCCCTGGGTGATGCAGTGGGCAGAGCCTCTGGAGATATCGGAGGGCTAGGAGGAGGAGCGTGAGATATCAGCCAGCATGCCTGGTGTTTTTCCACATGTGTGAGATGTCCGCATGGAAACACTGCTGTTGTCATCATCATATCCAGAAACTGCATCTGTGGCTTTCCGTTACAAAGCCTCCTGCACACACTGCCTCATTCAATCCTCATAACACCGCAGCGGCAGGTGAGGCAACATGGCCCTGTTTTACAGATGACGGAAGCAGATGGAAAGGAAGGCCTCCTCTTCAGAACGCCATGCCCCTCACTCCACCACGGGATCTGTGTTTGTCTGCCCCCATCCTTTCTTTCCATGCTTTTATGTCTGCAAACCAAATAACATTTTAATCTGGAAGAACTATTATCAACACCCCTCTCCCATCACTTGCTTATCACATGCCCCAAACAAAAAGATTAGGGTCAGAGTTTTGCATTGTCATTTCAAAAGAAGATCCGCAAGTCATGATGGCACCCCTACCTTGCACCCCTGCTCCTGGCAGAGAGAGTGTTGGGCAGCTGAGGGCAGGCCACAAAAGGGCACATCCACTGTCCACATGGAACAGGCAGGAGGCCTGCTGCACTGTGCAGTGACCTGCCCTTCCTCAGGCAGTGGGAAGCCACACACACAGACTGAGAAGGCCAGACGCACTGCCCCTTGGCCAGTGTGATGACAGGGTACAGAGGAGCCCAGTGGAGACAGGCAGACGGCCCTGTGCCCCAGAGGAAAGTTTGCACAGAAAGGAGGGCCCACTCCAGCAAGGCACCTGTCCCCAAGTGGGAGCATTTGAACCAACCCCTAGAATGGAGTGGGAGGAGGTACTTGTTGTCTCCAGGTGCGCCGTCCTCGCCACACTGCTGTTGTGACACAGCCAACACTGGTCAGCAGGCAGGACTCTGCATGATTATCCCTCCTTCTCACGTGAGCAGCTCAGAACCCAAGAACGGTCTTCCTTAAAGTGACATCCCTGGGGCAACTGACCATCTAAAGTAGCTGTGCTTCATACACACACACACACACACACACACACACACTCATACACACACATGGATACAGATACACTATATATACACACACCACACACACACATCCACCCACCCACGCTACACACATATACACCCACATAAACACACATCACACACAAACACACTACATACATATACACACAAACACATCACACACAGACACACACTTATATACATACACCACACTACACACACCACACACAGAGACACACACATGCAAACACACAACACATACATCACACAGACACACCGTCACTAATGGAGAAGCCTTTCAACTGTGAGTTTCTGCTGCCATCTAGCGGTTCAACTGCGGAAGAAGCAGATGAAAGAATGAAACCACCTTAAGATCTTAAAATACGATCCTTGTATCCGAGAGTAACTCTTGTTTTTCAAGGGCCAGAGAGGTTCCAATTAGGGAAAGGAGACTTGTGTTATTTGATAAGGGACCCACAACCTTGATTTAGTAGAATCTACTTTCCAATCTTTTGAGCTCTGAAAGTTATATTTTGTGTGTGTGTGTGTGTGTGTGTGTGTCCATGTACACAAAATACCATGTGTGTTTTGTGTGTGCATGTGTGTGTGTGTCTGTGTGTCTGTGTCCATGTACACAAAATACCATGTGTGTTTTGTGTGTGCACGTATGTGTATATGTGCATGTGTGTGTGTGCGAGAGACCTGCATGTTTTGTGCGTACTTTGAGCGTGTGTGTATGTGGTTCCTGGAAAGGCATGCTTGTAGTAAGAATCCCAGCCAGAGGGGATACCCAGAAGTCATGGAGGGGTTTTGAGAGAAGGGCAAAGGGAGGAGGATGGACAGCTTCGAGCTGTAAATTCAGAATGAGGTACTGCCCACGATAGCTCATGAAATCACCTGGCTCAGGCTTCCAGATCCATCAGTTTGGAAACCCTGACCAATCAGTGTAGATAAAACTCTCTCAAAGGTCTGAGCATTCGTTCTCTAACTACTTTCAGCATGATCCTATTGCCCAGCCAAGGTTGGGGACCATGCTCACTTACATTGGGGTGAGCAAATTTTTTCTGTAAAGGGACAGATAATACCTATTTTCGACTTTGGGGGTCATATGGTCTCTGTTGCAACCCCTGAACTGCCCGTGGAGCCCAGAAGCAGCCGCAGGCACAGTCGTGAATGAACATGGCTGAATTCCAATGAACTGTATGGTCACTGAAACTTGAATTTCATTTATTTATTATTTGTCATGAAATACGATTCTTCTTTCAAAATATTTTTTATTCATTAAAAATAAACTCAAACCAGTCTAAACTCACAGGCCACGCACTAACAGGCTACAGTGGCTTTGGCCTGAGGGTTGTATTATAGTTTGCAAACCTCCAATTTCTCTCACTATCTCTGGGATAAAGTTCAATATCTACTGAAACATCATACTAGATTTTTAGTGTCCTGCCTGTAATATCATCAACAAGGTTATTGGCATTTTATTATCGATATTTTTATGTACCCACGTGATCCATTTTTTATTCTTGACAGCATATCTAACACCAGCTCTTTCTTTTTCCACCAAGGGGAACAGTGAAGCGAAGTTACAACTTAAACTTTCTTGGTGATCTAATCCGCAATTGGAAGCCATAGGCCATCCTTTAATCTAAGGTTTAGCAAAGGGATTAACATGACAATTTGGAGGTGGATTACTCATGTTCTTTTTTTCTTTTCCTTTCTTTTTTCTTTTGCAGTTGAGGATTGCTCCTTTGAAGACTTACGGATCATGAATGTTCCTGAGGCATATTTGTGAGGCTGTTTGCCTCTTAAATGAAGTCCACCGGTAATGTAACACTAATGTTTAGAAGTGTTTTCACATGGTTAGAGAGTAAGGCTACCAAAGGTGGGTAAATTAATGCTTGCTCAAGTTTGGGGTTAAAAACCATGTTCTTTTAGTTTTTTTCTCTACTATTAGAATGTTCTGTTTTGAGGGCTTTAGTCAACTTTTAATGATAATAGTTAATTGTACCTTTCATGTAACCAACTCAAAAATGTGGAAATAAGCAGATAGATTTTAAAATATTGTTTTCTTCTGAAATAAAGCTTCTCTGGAGGCTGCACTGTGTGGTGTCTGGGGTTGTCACAACTTCTTATTTTCTTCTAAAATAAAATCATAATTTATTTTAAGAAAAATAAATTTTTCTTAAACGTATTTTAAGAAAAAAAAATTTTTTTCTTAAGTTAAATTCTAATTTTTCTTAATTACAGGCACTTTTTTTGTCTTTTGTTTGTAATCCTTTGTTTAGTTAATTTGTGTGTCCTCATTAATCTTTGTTATAGGAAAAGGGATAATGTTTCCATTTTCAGGTGGAATTAGAGAACTTTGAGGAGCTACCAAGTAGTTTTGTGAGTCTGGCTGCATTTTTACCAGACGACCTCAGAGTTCCTTCCATCTCTAATATTTTAAAGTTTCACAGTTTTCTGAATGTGATACTGAATTCTTTCTAAAAGGAGATGGATCAAACTTTGTCTTAAATTTGCATTATTGTATTAACGGGAGGCATTTCCCTTCACGTAACTTTTCCTTTAATAGCACTGATTACATCAACATGTGCTGATATCATTGCAAACTAGATCGGAAAGGATCTTAGTGACTCTTCCACAACCCAGTCCTGAAGACATACCTCCATCTTTGAAGGTTCCATGTCATTTCCCAAGGGTCAAATGTCTGCTGGCCACCTATTATGGATTGAAATGTGCCCCCTTCCAATTCCTGTGTTGAAGCCCCAATCCCGATGTGACTATAATTGGAGATGGGGCCTCCAAGGAGGTAATTAAGGTTAATTGAGGACATAAAGCTGGAGTCTTAATCCAGTGAGACTGGTGGCCTTCTAACAAGAGAGACAAGATATGAGAGATTTCTCTTTCTCTCTCTGCGCACACAGAGAAGAAGCCATGTGAGCTCATAGAGAGAAGGTGGTTCTCTGCAAGCCAAGGAGAGAAGCCTCACCAGAAACTAAACCTGCCAGCACCGTGATCTTGGACTTTCCAGCCTCTGGAACTGTGAGAGAATAAATGTCTTTCGTTTAAGCCTCCCAGTCTGTGGTATTGTGTTATGGCAGCCATAGCACACCTCCAAACTGCTAGGTGTCTGAGTTTGCTCTAAAAAGAATTATTTCCTTCAAGAGCTGAATCCTAAGCAAAGCCCTTATGTATGTACTCTGTCTCCTTGGCAACACTTGTCATCTCTGCACAAAGGTAGGCTTGTCTGTTACTACTGCTGTCCTCTCCGGGCACCATGCCACCCTCCACAGGGTGGTGGAGTCACACTTCCATGCACATCAAAATTACTTGAGAAGTTCTGCCAAAAAACCAGATGCCTGGGGGATTTCATGTGGAGTTCTGGCTGGCACCCTGGCCTCTGAATGTCACCACGTGTCCCAGGGATTCTAGAAGCCTCTCTGGAGATTACACTGTGTAGTGCCTGGAGCTGTCGCAACTGCTGACTCCATTCAGGTGGTCTACAACCTGAGGTTTACAACAATATAAGAATCACATGGGTGAACTTTTAAGAAACAAAAGGCCCAGGCGCCCACCCTCAGAGATTTTGATTCTGAAAACGTGAAGTGGGCACAGTCAGGGTGTCTGTGATTGTCTGAGGTCCCCGGTGACTTGAGTGCACTGTTAGCACCCTGCATCCTGCCTGGGTAGTTCTCAACCCTAGTTGTACCACTTGTGCTTGCTGTGGTTGGGTGCATAATAGCCCCCAAAGATGACCCTATTCTAATTCCTGGAACCTGTGACTATATTACCCTACTTGGCAAAAGAGACTTTGCAGATACGATGAAGTTAAGGATCTTGAGATAGGGAGATGATCCTGGGTTACATGGTGGATCTGATATAATCACAAGGATTCTTATAAGAAAGAGGCAGGACAGTCAGAGTCAGAGAAGGAGATGTGACAACAGAATCAGAGTTCAGAGTGATGAAGGTCCATGAGCCCAGGAATGGGGGTAACCTCTAGAAAGCAAAGAAATGGATTCCTCCTTAGGACCTCCATAAAGAATGCAGTCCTGCTTGTACCTTAATTTTAACCCACTGGAACATCTGATTTCCAGAACTACACATATAAGATAATAGATCTGTGTTGCTTTAAACCACTAAGTTTATGATAATTTATTATAATGGCAAGGAAATTAACATACCTGTGATACCACCACTGTCCCTTTAAACCAGAACCTTCATCTCACATTCTTTGCTCCCTGCGTCCCCTTTTGAGGAACATCTTAAATTCTACCAACTACTTTGCATTAATACCAACTTAATTTCAATAGTATATAAAAACTTTGCTCCTATATATCTGTTTCTCCTCCAAACTTTATTCTGTTATTGTTACAGATTACTTCTATATACTGTGTTCTTATTAACATAGATTTATAACCATTGTCATATAGTGTTCATTTAAATCAGATAGAAAAAAGGAAGTTTCAAATAAAAAGTACATTTATGCTGCCTTTTATTTTTCCCTGTGTAGTTAGCTTTATCAGAAAAAGTATATACTTTTTCTTAGTATGCATTGGAGCTACTGCGCAGTTTCCTCCCATTTCAGCCTAATGTTCTCCCTTCAGTATCTATTTTAGAGAGGGTATGTTAGTGAACATTTTTGCAGGTTGTGCCTTATCTTAGTGTGCCTTAATTTTACAGGATAGTTTTGCTGGATATAAAATTCTCCTTTGATAGTTGGTTTTTTCCCCCCCTTTCAGCACTTTGAATATGTCATTCCACTGCTTTCTGACCTCCATTGTTTCAGGTGAGAAATGAGCCCTTAATTTTACTGAGGCTTCTTTGTACATGATGAGTAGTTTCTTTCAAGATTCTCTCTTTATCTTTGACTTTTGTTAGTTTGATTATGATGTGTCCTGGTGTGGATCTTTCAAGTTTATTCTATTGAGGTTCATGAGCTGCTTGCATGTGTAAATTAATGTTGTTCATCAAATTTGGGGAATTTTGACCATTATTTCTTTAAATATTATTTCTGCCTCTTTCTCTTTCTTCACTCCTTATGACTCCCATTATGTGTACATGGGTACACTTAAGAGTATCCCACAGATCTCTGAGGCTCTGTTTATTTTTTATTCTTTTTTCTTTCTTACACAATAGATAAGCTCAATTAACCTATTTTCAGGTATGCTGATTCTTTCTTCTGCCTTCTAATATATACTGTTAGAAACTCTTATAGTGGACTTTGTATTTTAGTACTGTACTTTTCAACTCCAGGTTTCTATTTGGCTTTTCTAATAATTTCTTTTTCTTAATGTTCTCTACCAGGTGGGACATCATTCTCATACTCTCCATCAGTTTTCTAGATATAGTTTCCTTTAGTTCTTTCCATACATTTAAAATAGATAATTTGAAGTTCTTCTCTAATAGGTTCAGTGTCTGGGCTTCCTCATGAACCATTTGTATCAACAACGTTTTGCCTTGTGTATGCGTCGTACTTTCTTGTTGTTTTTTTAACTCTCATACTTTTTTTTAACTAAAAATTGAACATCTTAGATGTTATTATGTGGCAACTTTTGGAAAAAGATTTGTCTCTCCCAGGATTTGTTGTTTCTGCTGTTTGCTGCTTTGTTGTTTGTTTAGTAATTTTTTTGAAATCATTATGTAAAATCTATATTCTTTGCAATGTTTGGTCACTTAATCTCTACTCAATTGGTTTTTTTTATCAACTAATGATTGGACAGAGATTCCCTTAAGTGTCTGGAGCCAACAAGTCTCCCAATCTTCTCCAAGGGGCTCTGTATGCAAGTTGGGAAATGTTTTCAAAGCTCAGCCAAATAGTTGGCAACTCTGCCTTAGCCTTCCCTCCCTACTGTCACAGAGCTCCAAGGTCATCCACCAGTAGGAGCTTAGGGCTTTTTCAGAAATGTGCAGAGCTTGCACACAACCCTATCTATGTTCATGAGCTTCTAGATTTCCAGAAATATCTCAAAGCTTTCTAAAGATCCTATGGACATCTCATTCTCTGGTTTTTATTTTTAAGCTTTTTGGCTAACCTATTGCTTATCCAATTATTTTCTACTGTGATAGGCAGCTGTAATATTCAACAATTACCTTTACTTAGTTTAGATAAACACTTCTGGGAAAAGGCTCCTGGTACTGGACAAGATCTGAGTCAAATATAATGAAGAGAAGCCTTGTGAGTGAAGTCTTTAAGGAAACTTCAGACAGGCCTCCATTCTGCCTCCTCCAGTGATGGCTAGGTTGATTGTTTTCACCATGATTACAGACTGAGGGTTTCCAAGGTCACTGAGGCACTGGGAGGGGGAGAAATGAAATGAAGCAAGTTAAAATGTCATACGGCTTGTTGTTTTTACCAGAATTTGATCATTTATTTTTTCCTTAAAATTGTATAAGCTTTTGGATAATTTTCAGAGTTCTGAAAAAAGTTGTATCTGACGATTTTTGCCCGTGGTCTCATTGCTTTCATGGAGGGAAGGACTTTCAGAGGTCCTTACTTGTCATTCTCCCTGACATTAGTAAGTGAAGTTAATTTTAATACTATATTTTATATAACCCAGTATATCCAGACTATTTTTATTTCAACATATAATCAATATAAAAATTAAAATATTTTATATGACGTTCTTCATATTTTATATGAAGTTGTCAAAATTCAGTGTGTGTTTTACACTAACAAGGCATCTCACTTTGGACTAGAACATTTCAAATACTCAATAGCCACATGTGGCTTATGGCACTGTATTGAACAACACAGATGTAAGTCATAGTCCTAAATGTGATGTTTAATACATTCTATTCTGCTTGATCAATATTGAATATAATGTAGAGAATGATCAGTTTATTAGGTAACAGGTGATCACATCATATAAGTGGTCAACGGCAGAATATTCCAAAGGCAGTCTGTATGGAGGTTGTAAAGTGTGTGTTTTTAACATACTTCTTTGATCTGGAAATGGAAAAAGGAAGCAGAACATAAAATTAAAACCAATCACCCCCAGTAAAATATTAGGACTAGTGTGGTAAATTAGATTATTTTCAGAAATATTCAGTCCTTCCCCTTCCCCTCCAAAGGAGGGGTATACCTGGTCCGTTGATGTTGGCTTGGTCACGCTAACTTGGATGTTAGCATTTATGACGCAAGAAGGGGCTTGAAAAGTATTTTCCCAGTTGTGCTCCCAGGCTTGGCATTGCCTGCTGGTCCAGGAGTTGGAGGTGACACATGGTGCAGAGCTACCCCCGCCAGCTCACCCAGCCTATGTTAATTTACTCAAGTTCATGCTCAAGTGCATGAGATATCAATACATATTATATATGTATGTAAAGTTGCTACTGCAACTTTACATTTGTCTGTTACGCAGCATTATTTTTGCAATAGCTAACTGATATAACTGCCAGTTGAAGAGCAGTAAATCGAAGTATATTCTGGAACAATATTGTAAGTCATTGAGCAAACAAGTAAGTGTATTAGTCAGCTTTTGCTGCATCAGTACACAGCGCCCTTTCTCAGTGACTTAAAACAGCCAGCATTTCTTTATTGCTCACTTCTGGGTGTGCAGGTAGGCTGTGGCAGTTCTCCTGTAGGCTGCAGGTAGGCAGAGATCTGATTTCTGTGTATTCCTGGCTGAAGGAAGAGCCACTACTTGGAACATATGGTTCCCATGTAGACAGTAGGAGCACAGAGTGAGCCAAAAGAAACAAATGTGTTTGTGCATTTGCCCAAACAGGCACATCTATCGCCACTCATATTCCAGTAAGCCATAGCAAGTTACTCAGACAATCACTGTGGGACAAGGGTGCATCTCTTCCTGGGGCAGGAGCTGGGGCTGGGGTGTGGTGAAGGAAATAAAAATTTCCTGAGCAGCTGTACAACCTCCCACCAAAAGTCATATAGCTATTTAGTTAGCAACTTTTCATAAACAGTTTGATTACCCTAAAGTATACATCATTATACACACTACTTAATAATAATAATAACAATAATAATAAATTTAATATTTAACGCTATTTCTTAGGAGCTTCACTGAGGTCCATTTAGTCTCAGAAATTCTCTCCAGGGTGAACTGCATTTGCAGGAAAATAAAAAGAGTGAAAGTCATGGTCACACAGTAAGAGCTGGGAACAAGTAGAAGGAATCATCATCCTTTTCCATATGCTTAGTTCATCTAAGTGAACAGTTTGCTTTCTGATTTACAACTGGAACATGTGGTCAGGGCAAACTGTATGTCACGCTGGCTCCTGAAAGCTACTGTCCTCTTACCGTGTCTGATGACTCTCCTTTGCAGGTTCCTGGAAGAATGATATCAGCTGTGCTGCTTCACAGAGTGACTAGCACCGGGCCAGCCCTGACACAGCCCAGCAGTCTCCTTCACTCTTTGGCAAGAGCAGCTGCTGAAGAGAAGCCAGCAGCCCAGCAGCCTCACCTGCCATGCGCCTACCCCAGGGAGCCCACGGAAGAGCGCAGCAGAACGACTGGGGAGAAGAAGAGTGACTCAGGGGTGTAGGAGAGAAACAGTGAGCAATGATTGCTATGCGCCCCNCCCACGGAAGAGCGCAGCAGAACGACTGGGGAGAAGAAGAGTGACTCAGGGGTGTAGGAGAGAAACAGTGAGCAATGATTGCTATGCGCCCCCCCCCCCGAATGTGAAACCACACTGGCTCTTCCCACAAATGTGAGTCAGTGTTTCATCCAGCCTACCTCTTTACTGTGTGGCACGCCCGCCAATTTGGGTTTACCACATTTCCTAGTGGTGGGTAAGAAAAACATCCCCGGCTTTTATCTAGCATTGAAATCAGAGTTCAATGATGTCAAAAGCCCATTTAACTACAGAATATAACTTTAAAACAGTGTCCCAAATCAACATGCACAGACTTTTGTCCTGTTATATGACTAAGTTCCCATTAATGAAAAAAATAGCTTGAGAAAGGACTCCAATTTCCTTCTTCCATTTTTGAAGCCTGCCCCTGTAGCACCTTGTCTAAACCTTGTATCTAACTATGGCTTTGTGGCTTATTTATAAGATTATGGACCTTAGCCTCAGAAACTACTATTACCCCTGAAGGTATTTTAAGATCATCAAATGAAACAAGTGAAATTATATGTGTTTCCATCATTTTAATAACTAGTTTAACTGTGAATGTATTTATTTAGAATGAAGTGAAGTGTCTCTAATACAGTTATACTTATATTTCTTCGTTATGAAAGAGCTTCCCCTGAGGTACTTTCGGTAAAGTGTGTATTTTGACTTAGAAAACTGGTATGAACTGTGTATCAGTGTGCATGTACTAATAGCTTTTGAATAAAAATAAGAAAGATCTAGGGATTGATCAAATATTTGTCTTTTAAAAAATCTTATTGTAAAAGCACTTAACATAAGCTCTACCCTCTTAACATATCTTTCAGGGCACAGAACAGTGTTGTTCACTTCAGGCACGGTGGTGAAGAGCAGAGCTCTAGAATTCACGCATCCGGCATAACTGAAACTGGAACCCACTGACCAGAAGCTGCCCATTCCTCCTGGGCCCTGGCAGCCACCTCTGCTTCTCTGACTCTGACTATTTCAGATTCTTCATATACATGGAATCATGCAGTATTTGTCCTTCTGTGGCTGGCTTATTGCATATAGCATAATGTCCTCAAGGTTCATTCATGTTGTCACATATGGCAGGATTTCTTTTTTATTTATTTGTTTTTTAAGGCTGAATGAATAGTAGTCCATTGTATGTCTCTCTCTCCTTCTCTCTCTTTTTGTTTTATCCATAGCCAAGAAGTGGAAACAACCCAAATGTCCACCAAAAGATGAATGGACAAAAAATATATCCATCTGTTAATACATAAATTTTCCTTGGAACCTTGGTTGGTGCTATTGCTTTTAGCAGTAATGAGAAACAACAACCGAACCTCCCAGAATCCCCCAACTCCAAATAACTGTGACCCCGGAAGTCTAGCCCTCCTCTTAGCTTGCTTTTATTCCATTAGGTGCCTCTGTGACTGTGTCACAGTCCTGGCTGCTATGGCATGACTCACCCAGGGAACGCACCTGCTCTTTCTGGATTTGAGTCAGGAAACACTGGGCACTCTCATTGGCATCTATATTTATAGGAAACGAAAGCTGTCAAAGTAGAACTGTTGATTACCAGCATAACATGGGTCTCCCAGAAAGCAAATATGAAAGCAGTGTTCTTCAGGCTTGTCTTTCCCTTGAAGTAAGAATAGCTCATTTCCAATCAACACGACAAACATTTCCATGATATAGAGTATATATAGATATAGAGTAGTGCTGACGGCATAAAGTCAGTGTTATTTTTCTCTGGTTGACATGCATGTATCTATATTCAGCTACAAAGCTGAATCAGGGTTTCCAGCAAAATCAAAAACATCCCCTGTTCTTATTATCTGCTGCCAGTATGGGACGCAGGCTCTTGGAGTGCCTTGTGCATCTCCAGCAGCTGGCCGATCCCAGGTGCTAAAGATAAGGAGGAGCTCCCTTTGGGCCTATAGAGAGAATTTACATGGGGGCCACCGAGAAGTGAAAGGCTCCCTGGCTTTGGGAAAGAGTTTCCTAATGATATTTTCATCCTATGTTTTTCCTACTATTCCTCAGATCCTCATAAACAATGCAAATTAAAGCTCTCTCTAAATTTTCTATTTTTCTAAAATTAAAAATACAATGCAGTGTCCTTACCTTGCTCTTTGTGTCTGGATGAACCATTGGTTTAAGATGACTTGAGATTGGGAAGCACATGATAAGACCAAAAGGCCCATGTTAAGGTGACATGGTTTGGCCTGTGGGACAGGGCTCTGCAGGTGTGGGCTGCTGACCTCTGAAAGCAGAAGCTACACTTTACTAAGGATTCCTCATTTGGGGGCAGGTGCCGGGTCTCAGCTGTGCCTGAGAAGAGACTGATAGAGAAGGACAGCTACACACCAGCAGTATCTGGGACCTCCCCGTGTGCACAGAGAACTTCCTGATAACTATGAGGCCAATGCAGCTTCATTTTAGAATGAAGTGGTTTTGGTGTCAGTATTTTAATCCATTCATTCACTTTGCCCACATTTTTGTTCTTTTAAAACACTTGCACCTTGATTACTCAGAAGTGGATTCTGATGACATTATCTTTGCTCCATGAATAGTGAATGCCTGTTTCTTTATCTTGATAGTCTCTGTAGGGCCAGCTTTTAGCACACATATCAGGGACCTGAAAAAAATCAGATGATTGTTTTTAAAGTATGTTTTAGATGCTTCTTTTAAAAAAAATCAAAGAACAAAGCTCCATAGTTACATGAATCTGGATAATTTTGTGTTTGCCATGTCTGTCTGTTGAGGAGTCACAGTTACCAACGAAGTCACCTATTTTAACTTCATGGAAGCTGGCATGTCTCAAAGCTCTGAGCAGGCATGGCTTCCTTTTCTTATGTAATGTCTACTAACCTTATTGACAAAGGGGGCGTCTGCTTTGAGAATTGCTCATCTAGACCCATTAGCCAGAAGGCTCCTCTTTCGGTTTCCATCTCCTCCCTACTCTCTGGCAGGGGCCACAGCAAAACTGTCTTAGGTGGGTAGGTGGGTAGGTTTTCCTAGATGAAGGTTCTTCATGTGTTCCTTGCACCCTGGGACTGGGTATGGCCATGCCATTTCTGCCCTCAGTGGCTTTTGCTGTTTTGATCCAGAGTGAGATTTGGCATGTCTTAAAAAAACATACGCATTTCTTGGCAGACACGTACAACAACCAACAAACGAATAAACCTCCTATATATCTATCAACCTTAAAGCATTGCCAATTTAATGCAAATCTCTTGCTAGAGCATGCATACATCTTAGTTACAAAAAGAGAAATTACTTTTAGGGTCTTCTCAAGCTTCAGACTAATTTCCAAATGCAGGGAAAGTTACTTTCAAGAATCTGTATTTCGGGCCGGCCGAGTGGCCCCCGTTCGGATCCCACATATGAGGGCCAGTGACACTGCCCTCTATAAGCTAAGATGCTGAACAACAGCTCGACCTGGAGCTGGGCTGCCGTGGGTCGCCAGCGACAGCATAGGCTGCAGTCTCTGCTGCAGTAGGTTGCCATGGGCCACCCTGTGCAGCCAGCAGCCAGCGTGAGCGGCCAGCAGCCACCGTGAGCGGCCGTCCAGAGGCTGGAAGAGCGCAATGATGGTGCCAGCTTGGGCCAGTGAAGCAACGTCCTCCACAACTAGACTGAGGAACAAAATGACAGCAACTTGTCTGTTCCCCTTCCCCCTATTCCCCAGCGCTGTTCCCCTCCCCCAATTCCCCAATAAAATCTTTTTTTAAAAATCTGTATTTCTTTATAAAGGTGGAACAGAGTTTCAATATATATACTCAGTATTGTTCCAGCTATTGCCGAGTGTCCCCTGGCCTGGGTCTAAATAACTGTGGAAATAATGTAAATGAAGAGACCCTGAGTGTGTGTGTAAGCAGCCCGCTGGGATGCTTTGTGTTAAGTAATGCAGCTGAAAACAAGAGACCACTATATGGGAACATTCATTTCTATCTCGAGTTTGAGCATGCCAAATGACACACCGAGACTAATGCTCTCCATTCAGCTAATAGGAGTTTTATGCTATTGAGACGTCTTGTACATTAACAGATCCGACCTCCTGAGTATAGCAGAGAGAGGCAGTTATTCTCTTCTAAACATGCTTCTGCAGGTGACAGTAACCTTGAGTGTTACTTTATCTGAACGCACCAGGACAGCATAAGAATACCGGAGCCATGGTAGAGTGAAACAGCAAAGAATTAACCAATACAACAGAACACAATCCCTGAGCAGAGAACGTGTGCTGGGCATTGCGTCTATTGCTATAGATCCTTTTCTCTCTGAGGACGAGGAGGCTCCTGTGCCCCTGGCTCCCTGTCAGATGTGGCCGAGGAGAGGCACTTTGAGGAGCTCTGATGGCTGGAGCCCAGTTCGTCACTGCTGAGTCATGCAGGCTGGCCATGTCCCACTCCTGCAGGACACAAGCCCAGTCAGGCAGCCACCCTCCCCGGGGTTCCAGGTGGTGTAGGTACGCTCTCCTGTTGCATCTTCCAACTGGGACTGCTGGCCCCAGGGCACCTGTGTTGATTTCCCCAAACCCTGCACACACATTTGTTGAAAGCACTTTATTGTATTTTCTTTAATTACTATTTGCGAATGTAATCTCTTTCCTGCCTGGACCCTAAAGGATACAAATAATAAACCTTTTCGCTGACAGTCTCCCAATTGTTTCCTTTGTGACCTGGTGCAAGGGGACCCCCATAGCTTCTAAGCACCTATCTCCAAGAACATGCCCACGCTTCTGTTAGTGTGGATGCTTGCGTGCAGGCATGTGTATGTGTTAGGGAGCAAAAGGGAGAGGGTTGAGGAGAGGGAGACGGGGACAGAGAGAGAGACTTCATGGTCTAGCCTCCACCACGGAAGATGATGTCAAAATGTTGACAGATCAAAGAGACATTTTAACACATCACAAAATCTGCATCGCAC